ATTGGAATTGGTTTTGTTCTATTGATACTATTGATGAGGACAATTCCTCTATGTAAAGTTGGTTAAGGTCAGACATGGTTGGTCATCCCCACAGGCCCTTACTTTTTTAAAGAAATATTTTTTTAAATATATGTACTGAACATATTGATGCAATAGTATTTGCGTGTACTTCAGGAAAGTCTGCTGTTCGAGATTTTTCCAAAGTACTGAAGAGCAGTGATACAAACCAAAAGACTAAGGTGTGCCTGATTAAAGCCATGGTCTTGTCAATAACCTGCTATGCATCTGGGAGCTGGACAATGAATAAGAATGACAAAGGAAAGACTGACGACTTTGAATTGTGGTGTTGGAGAAGAATACTAAGTGTGCCATGGACTGCCAAAAGAATAAACATATGCTTTGGAGAAAGTGTAGCCAGAGTGCTCCTTAGAGGCAGGGATGGTGAAATTTTGTCTCACTTACTTTGGGCATGTTGTTAAGAGGAGCTATTGTCTGGAAATGTACATCATGCTTGTAAAGGTGGAGGGTCAAAGAGAAGAAGACTTTCAGCCAGAAAGATCAACAGCAATGAAAGCAAATATATTGTAGATGATAAGAATGACACAGGATCAGACAGGGTTCAGGTCTGCTGTACTAAGATCATTATGAGTTATATTCTACTCCATGGCATTTAACAACAACAGCAAGAACAAGAACATTTGAACGTAATATGAATATGACGCATGTGTAGAAAGTGGTGCATGATCAGAAGAGTTTGAAGCCCTCCAGTCTACACAATGTCACACTTTCTAGCCTGGCTGTTCATATCCTCTACAACTAATCTTGACTAGCCAAATGCAAACTCAACACATCCTGTTCTTATTTAGGTTAGCAGAATCCTTATTCCAACTAAAGTGTTCACCAGCCCCCCACCCCATGTCTCTCCAATTCATGCTTCAACAGCACTGCAACATTCAATAACCACCCAGCCTGTTCCAAGGAGTATGTGTATGTGCATGTTTGTGTGTGCACATCCGACAGTAATGACTTCTGCTTTGCTGTCACTGTAGAAAGGACTCTGGTGACACAGATTAACTGGATTAACCAGATTAACAGTTGGATAATTAGTGGATTAACAGCTGAGTTGCTGAACAAAAGGTTGGTTGTTCAAATCCACAGCAGCTCAGCCAGAGAAAAGTGAAGCAGTTTGCTCCTTTAAAGACTTACAGCCTAAAACAACTATGAAATCCATCTCACCCCAGGCAAAATAGCAATATTTAACAGAACAACAAACAACAAATGTCGGCGAGGTTGCAGAGAAACTGGAACCCTTATTCACTGTTGGTGGGAGTGTAAAATGGTGCAACCACTATAGAGGGCAGTATGGCGCTTTCTCAAAAAGTTGCAAATAGAAATAACCATTTGACCCAGCAATTCCACTACTGGGAATATACCCTAAAGAAACCAGAACTGCCACCCAAGCATATATTTGCTCACTCATGTTTATTGCTGTTTTGTTCACAATAGCAGAGTTGGAAACAACCTAAGTGCCCATCAACAAACGAATGGATAGAGAAGCTGTGGTATATTCACACAATGGAATACACGCTGCATTGAAAAATAAGGGACTAATGAAATATACAAAATGAGTGACTCTGGAGGACGTTATGCTGAGTGAAATATCTCAGTCACAAAAGGACAAATACTGCATAGTTCCACTGTTGTAAAGTAGGACTGATGTAGGAGTTGGGGGGAACCTAAGAGGGGATAAACAAAGTATACTGCATTGAAACAGATGAGGGAGAGAACTGTTTAGGAGGAATATATAATTAGGTATTATTGTCAT